CCCTCCTCCCCCTCCTCCCCCCTCAGGTGCAGAACCTGTCTGGTGGCGAGCTGCAGAGAGTCGCCCTCACTCTGTGTTTGGGGAAACCAGCTGATGTTTATCTGATCGACGAGCCCTCGGCTTACCTGGACTCCGAGCAGAGGTTGATGGCCGCCAGGGTCATCAAGAGGTCAGACGCGGCTCCTCTTCGCCACTCAGTTCCCTCCCTCACTTTCCTTCACACCCTCACTGTCTGACTCGTGTCCGTCCGCAGGTACATCCTCCACGCCAAGAAGACGGCGTTCGTGGTGGAGCACGACTTCATCATGGCGACCTACCTGGCCGACAGAGTCATCGTGTTCGACGGTATTCCCTCCAAGAAGACTGCAGCTAACACGTAAGACAGAGAGAGACTTTTATTTTGTTAAATACTCACAACATGAACCAAACACTTCCTGAAGAGAAACTGAATTTCTTCTTCTTCTTCTTCAGGCCTCAGAGTCTGTTGGCGGGAATGAACCGCTTCCTGTCGCTGCTGGAAATCACATTCAGGAGAGACCCGAACAACTTCAGGCCACGTATCAACAAGCTCAACTCCATCAAGGTATTCACACCTGTGAATTATAACATCATATATAATGTATATGAGACAGATTTTAAAGATACAAGCATCACTTCAGTTGAGGGATTAAAGGTCTGTATTAACTACAAATCACATACTTAACATCAAAACTACCGTCCTGTGTTGTAGAAATCTGATGCTAATAATATAATAATAATAATAATGTTAATTTTTTCCAGATACTGAAACTTTACATGAAAAACAAAACAGAATAGAGCAGGACATAAATTCAAACATTAAAATCATGAACATTTATTTGTTCAGTGTTTTTCTGTCGGCTGCTGTGAAATATGAAAATATATTAACAGACGCTTGAAACTTGCATCATTACGAGTTTAATCAATCGCATCAATCTGCAGCTCCAGCCGGTTTAGGTTGATGTGTCCAGCTCGTGCTGCAGCTCTGACCATCAGTTGAAATGGTTTAGTGTGTGAACCTTCGCTGACCTCTGCTGGTGACGTGTGGGAACTACAACAACACAGTAATCAGGATTTAAAGGGTTTAAAATTAGAAGAAAAACAAAACGTCACAAACAGCAACAAAATAGAACAATACAGCAGGTAAAGCAGCAATAAATAGATAAAATGGTGATTATCAGACACCGAACACAGCCACAGGAGATCAGAGTGCACTGTTGATCAAGCACGAGCAGCAGAGTAGATGATGTGTTTCTGTACACACTGACCTTTGACCTTTGTTTCCTCCAGGACACCGAACAGAAGAAGAGTGGAAACTATTTCTTCCTGGACGACTGAGCCGACGTCCAAACAGCAGTTATGTTAAAAATCATAAGAAGCAGAGAGAGAGAGAAAAAACCCCATCAGCCTTTATGTACCGGGCTGCGTTCAATAGCCAGCAATGTTGTGAAACGTTGAAAATAAAAAGTGCATTGCATTCTGTGTCCGTCAGCCTGAACATACTGGGCTGAATTCACAAGCCAGCGACATTGTGGAACATTAAGCAGCGTATTTTAACACTCATGCATTTACAGCAACTGATAATAAACTGATTATATCTGATCCCAGAACTGTTCGTCTCTTCATTCGTCATGTCTTAACAGTGTGTGGTGTGTTCAGGAACACTTAGAAATACTGTGTAAAAGCCTGAAGTAATATTAAAACGTCTCTAAATTAATTTACAAAACTCTTGT